GTTTTTCCTTTGTCCTTTTATTTTTATGGATGACCTCTGTCCCTAAAATCCATTCCATATTAACTGTGACATCTACTGAAAAATCAAGACACACAAGAATGACCAGAGACCATACCTCAATAATTCTCTTGGAAAACACCAGAGTGCACTACTGCATAGTTGAGATGATTTACCAGACGACTGAGCAATATTATGGGGGGTGTGGATTTGGCCTACTTTAGCAGGAAAAACCTACACACTGCAAATGGCTATTTTCTTAGTTTTGGATACTCAGTTTTAAGACAAGCAAACCTGATGTTTGGTGCTCCTTAACACCTGAGTTTCTTACTAATTTTCTCTGCTGTCAAAACTAGGCTAAATTAATATATACCAAAAGTCATAGAACTGAACATGAAGTCACCCAAGATGATGCTTTTGACTTATTGATGAGATCTGCCACCAGAATGTACTTAAGAAAATAATCTCTCTTGTTCAATTTGGCAGAATAGCTGATCCAAGAGCATTTTTGCACTTTAAGGACATACAGATGCTAAGAGAGATGTGTACTATTGAATAACCAGAACCTTTAAGCTTTCTTCAGTGTTTCCATTGTAAGCCATAGAAATCAGGCCACAAGGCACCTTAGGTTTGTAGTACAACCTCCTGCTCAAATCAGGGTCACAGTGAAGTCAGACTATGTTGCTTAAACTTTGCCCAGTTGGTCTGGAAAAACTCCATAGATGGAGATTCCAGAGCCACTCTGGGAAACCCAGTCCTGTGTTTATCCTCCTCAAAGACAATGTTTCCCCTGACACCTAGTCAGAACCTCACCTGTATCAATTTGTGACCATGATCTCTTTTTCTCTTATCAGACAAGTCAGGGAAGAGCCTGGGGCTCTGTATTCTCTCTCTGTATTGGGGGCAACTATTAGGTGTGTGTCCCCTTCCCACCCCAAGTCTTCTCCAGGCTGAACAAAACCCATTCCCTCAGCCTTTCCTCACAGGAGCATGCTCCAGTCCTGACCATCTCAATGGCTCCCCATTAGACTCTCCCCAGTCTTTTTTATATCTTAACTGTGTGTTAAATACACATCCTTCTCATACAGAGGTTCTCCAAATGCTTCATTTTGCTTTTCTTGGAGACTTACCTTATCCAAGTAGCAAATATTGTGGTACTTCTGTGGGAACCTAAATGTGAGGATCCTGAAGCAGGTGGACATCTCACATTGCACTGAATTAGCAGCAGAAGCAGCAGACCTGGGTATCAGTGGCCTCCCTGCCTGCAGGAATCCAAACATTTTTGCTTGCTGTTCCTCTGTTGGGAAAATAAAGACAAATTCCACCTCCACTCCAACGGATTTCCTGAGGTACTTACATACACAGAGAGTAACCAGTGAAAAAGTGAATGAAAGAGCAGGTTTCATTCATTCATGAGGCACCCAAAGATTGCATTAAACTCACCACAAACTTCTCAATTCTTCCTTTCATTAATGAATAGCACTTTCATACACAAAAGTGTACGAAACTGCAGTTTCTGGTGCTAAACACAATTAAATGGTAATGCAGCTGATACAATCACCTTGTACATACAATCTTCTGCACTGATTCTGTGTTCATGACTTGCTCTTCTTTTCCATATATTTCAAGAGGGATTTTGACATTTTTGGTACAAGTCACTAAAGTGAACAAATGGACAGTCATGATCTGAATCGTGTAGTGAGAATTACAAATCTGTGAGTAAAGCTGGACAAGTACTTTGGTGAAAAACGCCTTGCAGAAACTGTGTAATGGCAAACAGAGCATTACTAATTTCTGCAGCATGAAGTATTTCCACTTATAGCCCTACTGTGAAGCTCACTTGGGAACAAAAGGGATCATTGTTAAAAATAAATCTGAATATAAATGTGTTACAATCTGACAAAAGGCCATTACATTTTGTTTTGTGATCTGATGAGATTTATCTAAGGGCCCAAGTTGCCAAGTGAGTTACTTTTCAGAATATCTGCTGAACTCAAACATTAAAATTACCACTTATAGGTCCTGATAACACTCAACTCAGGGGATGCATCACAGATTAAGACTTCTGAACTGCTGTGTTTAGAAATGTATTCTTACATTACCCTCTTATTTCTGTAATCCTTTTTCCCTGCTGGCTGAAACTCATATTAATGAAAAGGTGTTCTCAGTGGGAAAGCAATGAGTCACACCTGCAACTTCTCTTACACATTCTACAACCACCTCTGAAGAAACAAGTATCAAATACTGTGACTCTATATAAGCAGCACCAGTCAAAATTTTAAGAAAACACACTCAGTCTGTTTTCAAAAACCTCATTTTTATTGTTTGCACTGTGTCATCATTAACAGCTTTCATCTCTAGCAAACTGAAGCTAATCAGCACACACAAAAACCTATGTAAGGTCAGCACTCTTAAAGCAGAACCTTGGTTACATAAATGCAGTACACCTTGGTGTGTAAAAGGCCTAGGGACAGTTAGTTCATCCTAACACTAAGCACAGTCACTCCAGTTTCATGCATTTTTCAGGGGCTGTTAATAAGTTTCATTTTAGGGACATTAAAAGAAAACAGCTACAAGATTTAGAGAGATGACTCATTTATAAACCACAATTCTGATGTCTAAATTATTAAACTACAGCAAGGACCCTTCTTCAGCTGTAATAATTTTGCTCTGTAAAACAAAACAAAAAAAAAACAAAAGAGAAAATTAGTCACTTTGCTGTATTAAGTATAACATCATATAAGCAGCCTAAACTCTTGCTGGCTCATGCTGCATATATTCCCATTTCTGCCACAGGTTTGCCAGGTTCACTCACTGGCTCCTGCCTTTCTCTCTGAGCCAAAATGGAAGTGAGTATAAAACCAACCATTTCAGCAAGGAAAGGCTTTGCCTTTCTAAATCCTGTCTGAGAACCTGAGACTTGCCAGACTAGCACCTGCATGTGTTCCCCTATTGCCCCTCCAGTAACAGACTCACAAACCAAGCCAGCCCATTTGGTTTTACTAATTTCTGTGAGTTGTTTGTGAACTAATTTTTCAAATTAGTTAACTATTAACTAGCAGTTTTGATGAATAAGCTTTACCCTCTCAATTTCTGAATGTAGTTTTGTTCTAGCTGATACATTTGCTTTTTTATCACTTCCCTGGCTTAAATCCAGAGTCAGCACAAGAGGGAAGGAATGACATAAGGCGAAAAATTAGCCCAATTCAAACAGAATTGAAATACCCTAGGATTAGCAACAGATTGGGCAAACACCTCAGATACTAAAGACCTCCCAGGAGGCTGTTAAGGGAGTCCTGAATGAATAGGCATCAGTGGCAGTTTAAGCTGCCCAGCCCCTCAGAAGCCACACTATAGGCTTTGGCATGTTAGATTTCAGCAAGCAAGACTAGAACCTCCCTGTCCACGGCCCTGAAAGGCCCCCAAAATTAAAATAAACTAAAAGTGTAACAGGATTACTCCTAGGTATATTCTACTGTGCTTGCAGGTGGGAGTTTTACCTGAAGCAAATCCTTAACCCCTCAAGATGCCAATTATGTAGGAGCAGAAACCATGCAGGGATTCCCAGCAATGTTCCCGTGCCAATTTCATTGCTTCCGTTTCATTTTCAGACCCTTCACCATGTTGGGTTGGTAGCATTGAAGGTTTTTGTATTTTCTTAACAGAGTTTTGTCCTCCTTCTCCAGTGGAAGGGTTCTCAACTGGCTTTTCCTGGTTGGCTAGATCTTCTGGCTCCATACCAGTAGCTATTTGCTTCATGACAGCCTCTGGGTGAGCCTTTTGGCACATGGTGGTCCTCAACACTTCTGTGGATTCGCAAGCGTGTGGGATCTTTCTGAGCGCCCCGGCGATCTGATTCCAGTAAATCTTTGGATTGTTTCTGTAAGCACGACAGACTGATGGCTTGCCAGTGAATTCACACCAGTAGGACATGCCTTGGCTTTTGCATTGAATTCTAAGTTTCATCTCCTCGTCGTCCCCAGTAACACTCATTGTGCAAATGTCTTTGGTTTTAGTCCGAAATTTGATTTCTTCACCATTGCTTCTTTTCTTTGGCTTCAGCTTCTGTCCCAATCCTCCCATGCCACAGATCACTACTAGGAAAAGAACAAAACTCTTCATGGTGAGAGGAGTTGACTGAGATCCTTAAGCTACACGATCCAAAAAAGTGAAAGCAGCAAGTAAGCAACTGCTCGCAATTTAAAGGCTTGGTGCACAAAGAAGCCTCTTTCCAGCAAAACATGGGATGTAAGGGTTGGGCTTTTTTATAAGAAAAAATAAATCACACTTCAGTAGGCATGTGCCCATAATTTATAGCCTGAGGGAGTGTCGAATAACCTTGAGAGTGTGAACTCCCAAGAAGGTAACAAGACAAGTCTTGTAAATGCAGCTAAAAACAGAAGGATAGTTGTATAACTGAGCAGCACATTCCTATCCAGGATGAACATGTCAGATTTGATTTTTAACAGATATTTTCCATTCTCCAGCTGCTTTATAGCTATCTTCATGCCAGAGCTTGTAAGATCATATCTGAGTATGAAAAGATAAAAGTGCCAAAGCAATCTCTGCAACTACATCTGGATGATTATAAATGTGTCCTACTAAAAAAGACTGATGGGTGGAATCGGTTTTCTGTGGATTTGCACAGTAAGGATGAAACTAGCACTTCATTGTGTCAGCACATGACATGCAATGGGGACGCATGGAAGGATCAACTGCACATCCTTTGAGCTATGGAAGATCTTTACACTTGCAATATTTAAGCAAGATAAGGAATAAAACTTGAGCAAAATAAGGCATTATTGGCCTAAGCATGCACCAAACATTTGGACGTTTTATCATCATTGTCACACCATGAGCTACTTTCAGCCAACAGAACAAGACAGCAGAACTAACTTATCATAGGTTTCAGCAGCAGGGAACAGACCATGGAGCATGTCAGACAGATATTTGTGCTTTATTGCCTTTCCCTTTTTTCTTAAAATAGGTATTTTCCTGTTCATAACAAATGAGCTGTAAAAACACCATAAAATAAAGGCAAGAGAATAGAAATATTTTCGTGCAGAATCCTTTCCTGGCAGTTTCTGCTGCAGTAACTAAAAGCAGAGCTAAGGAAAAAAAAAATCCCTGTAATTCCCTTGACATTCAGGAGGTCATGAGGAAAAGTCTCCCCCATGCTGTGGCAAGCCACAGTACTTTGATGGCTAATAAGATCCCTACTAGGCACTCCTTCCAAAGACATATATGCTACACCCAGCCTGACCTGACCAGCTTCTGGAAAGGGGTATTGTATTCTTTAGGTATGCTTGAGTAACTGTGGGGTGCTAGAAACTCTGGGTTTAAGAATAGCCATAGACAATGGAACAGAATATCTCACTAGGAAATGATAGAGAATACCAAGGCAAAAACATTCATTTAACACAGATAGTGAAGCAGAACAACAACAGCCATTCTGGGTATCCTGAACCTTGTTATTCCAGTGAACATGTCATCAAGTTCCCCATGACTAAATACCATGTGACAAAGAGCATGACATTGTTTTCTTTTCATCCCCTCTCTAAGGCTATTTAATAACATTGTTAGTAGAGATCTCACCTCTAGCTTCTTGCTGTTTGCTCCTCCTGTCTCTTTCAAGGAACAGTGGTGTGGGTCTCCAGCCAAGTCTCAGGAGAATAATGGTTCCTCCTAAAGCTTCCTTAGGACTGACAATTCACTCTTCTGTTGTTTTCTGGGGAGTCTTCTCACCCTTCAGCCAGCCAGATGGAAGAATCTTGTGGCCCACCTCACACTTGATTTCAAGGATTTCAAATCCCTACTGCAAGCACTCAAATACCTCCTAATATTTGACAAATGTATTGTTTACACTTTGTTATGCACAACAGCACTGACAGTTCTCAGACTAGAAACTGAAGACATCCATCTCTTTCATTCATTTCACCAGTGTAGGTTGCTCAAGGCTTTATCCAGCCTGGCTTTGAACATTGCCAGGGTTGGGGCATCCAGCACTTCCCTGGGCAACCTGTGCCAGTGTCTCACCACCCTCACAGTAAAAAGCTTCCCTAATATCTATCTTAAATTTCAATTTGCACCCAAATCCTACCATCTTTGCATAACTGACCTCCTTTGTGGAAGTCAGAAGCTTCCTCACCCAGAGTCAATGTTCTCTCAGTCCTTCCAGCTCCAAAAATAAAAGTCAAATATAGCAGAAATTTTGAATTGGGGTAAAGAAATCCATTTTCTTAAGATTTTAACTCAGTGCAACTCTTCTGAAACAGGGCTACACATGAAAACAAGGGACAATCAAACATCAAGTAGTTAAGCAAGTTTTTTTTTATTTAAATGAACTGGGAACAATTTCTCAAATTAAAAATAGAAACTTTTAAAAATCTGCAGTTCTGAACATTACATATACACATATGCTACATACTGTCAATTAGAAATGTTTCCACTTATGATGTAAAAATTAAAAATTTAAGGTTATTCCGGAGTAAAGTCTGGTATCACTTTTCAGCATTTCCTTAAAATGATATTAATGACTTAACAGGATTATCCCTACTTCATGGTAATGAGCCTTGTTGGAAACAAAGTGAACAATACTGATATATAAAGAGATACTATTTTAGATCAATATATCCAACTACTTCACCTGCTGAAACATTTTACACTGGTCACATAGATACTTTTGGCCTTGTTGATGAATTTTGCTGTTCACTAATTCAGCAATGCAACTGTGTGCCTAAATTCAAGGCAATAACTCTATCAGTACAAATGTTAACCCCAATTGCTAAACATATTTGAATTTCAATATTGGAAATCATAGTTTAAAATTATTTAGCAAAAATAGCATCACTGCCCCCAGGAGAAGCACAGTGTAACAGCAATACTATTAAGGACCTTACAGAAGTGGGTGTGAAAGAGGAAAAGGAAGACAGAGAATGTAAATCATTCTAAAAATTGTCAACATAGGATGTCCCTCATGCTCTTTTTGAGTACTACTGAACTCTAGAAAGCTTAGCTTTTTCACTATATTATGCATCACACACACTCCCAGCCCTCCCACCCAAAGTTTAAAAACAAACTTCTCCAAGAAATCCCTTTTAGGTCTATGCTGCAAAACCCACTAAATATTAAATAATTAAAAAAAAAGAGGGAGAAAACAAAACTGCAACTTAACTTTTCAGACAAACAAAGAGACAATGTGGATCCCATTACAATTCAGATTTAGTCCAATGTGGTCATTCAAGAGCACCAAATAGCAACACTGATCATGCTGGTAAATTCATTTGTGAAGAGTATTATACAATATTAAAATCTTAACTAAACACTTAGAAGTTTTAAGAAAAATGTATATACAAAAGTCTCTGTATACAAAATGTATTTTATGTAAACGTGTATGTACTGTATTTAACACAAATCAACAATTTAAGATAAGAACTTGAACAGTTGTCAGAGAATTGCTAGGCAAAGGCTGTTAATCTAATTAATTTATATACTGTGATGTAAGGTAGAAAGCCCAGTGTAAAAAAGTAAAAAACAAAAAAAATTTTAATTCAAGCCTTGAACAGTGGTATTTGAGAGGCAGTGCCCTGATCACAAAATATTCTGTACAGTAGTTTATGGCATAACATTCAATAGTACATTTGGGATTTACAGTACAGCTGACATAAAACAAGTGGCTCAGGATTTGTAGAGGAATGGAAATGCCAATACACTTGGAAGAATAATGATATACTCCCATAGAAGAATCTTGAGCCTCCTTTATATTGCCTGAAATAGTAACAAAAACAATTCAGGAAAAGCTGATAGAGACAGAATTTTCATGTAATTTAAATGGAATGAAGGCACAGATTTTCATATGAACATCAATATGGTTGAATAACTTTTTATTTTTAAACCTTAGAGCACTCATGTTACAAAAATCAGAGCAGCCTTCTTAAAAAAGTAAAGTAGTAACAGACCTAGAATTGACTTCAAAAGCTTCTTACTTACCCCTTAACGTTTCCAGTATGTGTTACCACTGTTCCACAGAGCTATATGAGAAAAAACAAACAAACCAAAGCATTATTGTCCTTTGCCCACAAATGAAACAGAAATACCATGTCTAACTAAGGTGAGACAAGCTCAGCTGGCACAGTTTTCAATCTTGTACCCATTTAATCAAGCATTTTTCAAACAAGAGGAAACAGACTCATGGTTTTCTCCACCAACCTTTCTTGTTTCCTTTGTTTCATGATAGAAAGAAATGCAACACCACTCCTTTGCAAACTTAATCCAGCCTCCCATTTTGCTCTCACATAAATAGTGGCTGCATTTGAGGTTATTTGTATCATTGACATGTACATCAAAACACCTGTGTGAGACACATCTACCTCATATAGCTCCCACTTGTATTTATGTATCTTAGGGTTATAAAAATATTTGCATCTCTTCCCAGCACAATAATTCAGCTGGTTTGGAAGGACAAAAAAAACCCCCTCACAACAACCCTATGGAATTCTTTAAGCCTGCAAAAGTACAGGTGCACAGAGATCTATTGCAAGTCATATTTCCCAAAGTATCTCCAAAAATAATTTGTAGGAAATAAGAAAAAACAAGCATAGCATAAAAGCAAAGAGTATGCTGAAATGAAAATTAAACCCAAGACTTTATTCATATGGGAAACCCATGCTGAGAAATTCAAAGCATGTATGCCATAATTAGCAGTTTTTCAGATTATCTCAGTTAGCACATCAGAAGACAGCACAGCTTCAAACTGAATCTTTAAATTTTGTTATGGAAGCCCATTTTGAGTGACTTAGAATTTAGGCAAAGAAGTCAGAACTGAACTAGTGGATCTTTCTGTAAGAAACTACTTTATGCTAGTCATTTTTAGCTTATTCATGAACACCGAATTAAACTATTTATCAATGACTGAAATATCACAGAAAACATGCTATGAACCTCAAGAATATTAACATTCATATTAAAGATTCAAAGATCAGAAAGGGTCTTCTAAGGCCTGAGCAATTATTAGTTTCCTCTTATGTAAAATATTGAAAGTCCTTAAAACTGAGAGTCCTTAGATGTGCCAGTAGAGAGTACTTTTGAATTAAACACCTTGTCAGTGAATTTAGGGAGTAAGTACCCTTGAGCTGCAGAACAGACCATGACAATTGTGATCATAAATATCACTAAAACCATTGTTATATAAGATTTCCTTCAGGAGATGTGTAACCGAGATTTGGTCAGTAGATAATTATTGGAAAATACTGATAAAAGTAATAATCATTATCATCATCATCTGATGCAGCCATAAAATCTGGTAAGACTCAAACTTTGAGCTCTCTTGGTATTTCCCCATTACTCAAAGAGTGGTTATATCTTCTCTGCCATTATTCAACCAACACATTCATTCGTGAAGTTAGGGAAGGCACAGTGAGCTACTGATTTCAATCATAAATTAAATCCTTCCTTACGCAACCTGCAAACTTTGCAAACCCAAATACTGAGGTTGTGGGACATTCTACGTTATCCCTTTGGAAACTGGAAGTCTCACAGCTAGCTAAGGTTTGACAGTGCAGAAGTTGTAGAGAGAAAGAACCCAAATCTCCTCCTTTTTACACATAACTTGCATTTCTTGGTTTGTGATGCTACACTAGTCCTACCCATGCACAAACACCCATTTTCTGTGTTCATGCTTTCTGCATTCCTGGATCACCTGCTTTTTGCAGAGGAAAAGCTCTTCTCACCATTTGAAACCTAGAACTACTCAGGAATAGGAATACATCCCATCCTATCCCTTTCAACTGCTCTCAGAGTATTTCAATAGGCTTATCAATTTAAAACCACCCACTGTGCTAGCTAAATACCTAATTACATGGATTTTTAGATCAAATTTAAGCAATTGCTTTGTTAAGTTGCTGGAAATTACTACAGTATCTGCTGTTATGTAAAGAATATTTGAGAAACATGATTCATACAGCATCTGCTATAAGTGAATAATCATGCAAAAACCCAAACAGAGAATAAAGTGATTCACTTAAAACATGCAGAAAATTGAACGGGTGGTTAAAATAGTAGCTTAAGTAAGGACACATGAAGGCATGCACTTTCAGACTTGGTTTACCTTGTAAAAACAGGATTGTGTATACCATATAAATGCTCTTTATGATAACCATTATTACCATTTTCCATACTGTAATAAAATAAATACACCAAGAAAGACCATGTTAACTCTAAGATGCACTATGTACAGTATGGCTTCTAAGACATGTGCATGGATGATGGTATTATATGCAAAGATAAACTATGTCTGTACAATAGAGTATAATTTTCCTCTGTAACATTCAGGAGTTATGGCATAATTAGAATTTTTAAATATCTTTATAATCTCAAAAAAATCAATTAATTATTTTGCTATTCTTGTTCAGTTGGATACTTTAATATAATCTATAAATTCTGGTGAAACAGAACATGTTACCTCTTTTGAAGTAACAAGGACATTACAAATATAAACCTTTCCACGTTAATAAAATAATTTAAACATCAGCAAAAAAAGGTCTTACATTTTCATGGGTATAGTTTCAACGCTAAAAAACACAGAAAAGGAGGAGCAATTAACTAGATATTAATAAGGGAGTAATTATAGCTGTACATGCCTGTTTCTGCTCTACTGACTTGTGAATGTGTCGTGACAAACAGCCAGTGTGAAATGTGAGAGATGCAGTGCACAGGCTAACTGAACAATGAGCAAAACAGAGTGGGAAAGAAAACAGTACAAACAAAACTGATGGGAAAATATGTAAGAATAGTTATCATAAAGTAAAATGCCAAGTCCCTGAGACAGAGGAACTGCAATTGAAAAAGGAAAGACTGGTTAGGAACAACTAAGACAGTAAGAAGGCAAATAATTAATTCAAGGAGATTACAAAGCAGGTATAATTCACTATAAAAGGTTACATAGCAAAGCTAATAACTTGTACATTTGGAAGATATCTATATAAATGCTGCTCAGGAAGCTTTGAAGGCCTCATTCTGAAATAAGTTTCTCGAAGTCAGAGGCAGCACTACCTGCACAGAGTCATGGCAAGCCAAGGCAGCCAAATGCCACCTGCATAAAGCACATTTCAAGCACTCACCCAAACCTGCAGCACTTCACATGAGCATGCAGTTCTGATCTGGTAGCACAGGTTTAAGGACTATAGAGCTTTCATGTGATCTCTAAAAAACCCCTTTTTAATCCCTTTGCCATGTAGTTTATGTAGAAGCATATACTTACTCATCATATACATCCTCTGTGTCCATTCTACGATAGTATTTAGAGAGTTTCACAGCAAAAATTATGGCAGGAATTAAAAATATTGAAGAGCCTCCCAAACCAAACCAGAAGGTATTCTGAAACAAAGCAAAATCAAGCAAAAAAAAAAAAAAAAAAAAAAAAACACAGAGAAAATTAATCAGAAAAGTACTGAATCCTTGCTTGATATTCTAACTACTGTTACCAGAAGAAGACAGTAGAAATGAGTGGCACTGGCCTGGTGGGGTATCTAAGGGACCTTATATTAGTGTGGAACAGGGCACATTAAGCATCCTCCACTGTCACAGTGTGAACAGTGTGAACTACCTAAACTTGACCCTCTTACAAATGCAACCAAACAGAAATATGGCCAAAGTTCCTCAAAGCTACAGAGCCACAGCGACCTAAGAAGTTGTTTCAATGTACTCAGCAGTGGGCTAGAAAATAATTTTGCATCTCAGCATTAATTTAGTAGCAAAAGCAATTTTTTTCTTGATATTTTAAACCATCTTTCTTGCAGTTCTTGTCAAAATATGAGTTTCCAGCACTTTCTCAAGGTACTTTTTAACTTGCTAACTGTAGCCCTGTTTGTGTAACTAATTTCATTAACATACAGTTGAACTGAGTTATCACCAGATGTTAAAATAATGATTTTTCAAATTTGATTTGCATTGGCTGGAGGCATTTTGACTTATAAGTGACTCAGCTAAGTTCTATCATCAGGAAAAATCATGGTCCATCTTGCATCAGATGGTTAATGGCTCCACCAAGGAGAACAGAAGCTCTGTAACATATGAACTAATCAAGGAGTACAGCTTGATTCTGTCAGGTTAAGAGATTTTCATGGTTAAGCATTATCAAGATTAAGCATTTCATGGTTAAGCATTATCAAGGTTAGAGTACTTTGGCTTTGATTAATTACAGGTATTTGCTGTTGGTATGATTAGGACCTGGCAAAAAGTGTTGTAAAGTTAAATAATAGCTAGGACATGTTTTAGCTCTTTCCAGGCACACAGTTTCTTACTTTACTTTTAATATATGCTGTCCTCTTTCCAAGCTCTTTTGGCAAGATGAAAAAAGCCCATATTGCCCTTAGATACTGCTACAAGTCATGCTTGAAGTCTCTAACATACAGAAATTAATCAAATCTGTCTGCTACAAGTCAAGTGATAAAACCTCATTCAGGTTTTCTAGAGTTCAGGAAAAATCTGAGCAAGTTTTTCCTCGGTATTTTCCATACACTTCCTGCCCCTGCCCCACTCCTATAAGCTAGAAATGGTTACAGCTGAAACTTCAGATCTTTATGCTTTTCCATTTCAATGTGGTTCAGAATCAATTAACTTTACAGAATTATTGCTAACTGAAGCTTAAGTTTAATGAAAACCTAAAACAAGTCCGGCACTGGTTTGTCTTCGACTTGATACAGATCAGAACATTTATCCTTGCATAACTTTGTACTTCAGAATAGTCTAGCCAGAATAATGAAATGCAGATGTATATTCAAAGAATTTCCCACTTGATGCCCCAATTCTGAGTAACGTAAAACATTTCTTACCACAGAATCAGTTATATAGCTGCATAAAAAAATATCTACTGCTGTGTCTATCACATTGGCAATCGGCTTGCATGCTGCTACCTCCATGGCAATCTGAAATCAAGATTTTAAAAAAAAATACAGTTTGTAGTATCTAGCAGAATAAAATAAGAATCTCAAAACTTGCTTACAGTTATAGTTTACTAAATTGTTATGTACAAATTCAAAATAAATACCAGGGGGATATGGTATCAACTGAACATCTTTTAAACATCAGCTTACTTTCTCAAAGGCTGCAGCTGAAGAGAGTAAAATAAAACAAGATGCTAATGACATCAATTTGAACTATGCAGGGTCAGGCTCAGTGCAGCTTTAGCACAAATGATAGATTTCAGGCTAACCCTAGAAACAACACTATGTTAAATTTGAACTGCATTCCAACCAACACAACTCATTGTTTCTGTTCTGCAAACTCAACGAAACTATAGAAGACCAATTTTCCCACTCATAGTAAGTACAAATATACTAAATACTGAAACTATAAAAACATACTATCAAAGTTATTACTATTATTATTTAACTTTCCTATGTTTTTTTTTAAAGACACAACTTCTCTCAATTTAGCAAATGCCCCTTACCGACTCCTTGACCCACTCAACGTATTGTTCAAAGTAGCCAACAATTGTATCCATGTACTTTTTTGTCTCCTAGGACCAGACAAAAGAGGAGAAAAGCAAGTTACCCTCTATCTCCACAACACGATAAATTAATGTATTTAAATCAAATAAATCCTACCTGGACAACAACTTGAGAAGCATTGTTATTTATGAGCATCTGGGCAGCATTAACAGCACCAATGACATTTTTCACCTTAACCTGGAGAGGAAGAGATGGTGGTTAATATAAATGAATCCCTTTCAGGCTGCTGCAATGGCTCTGCAGCCATTGTCAGGAGCCCTAAGTGTAGAAATACTTTCATCAATGTACGTATATACACTACAGACATATGTAGGGCACAGGAAGAACACAGTGCAACAACTCTTGATGACTAAAGTATGATTCTATACAGCCTGAATATGGCCCATATTGATATCCTAAAGGCTTGAGATGCTTTTTCAATACAGGTACAACCCCATAAAGTCTCTCAAAGAACACACACAAAGGACAGTGTGCATAGAGTCTGAAACTGTAGAGGGACCCCATTAATGAATTCAAGTACATGAACAGGAAGTGCCAAGATGGAGCCAGACTCTTATCACTTGTGGAAACCAATAAAACAAGAGGTAATGGGCAAAAACTGATGCACAGGAAGTTCCACCTGAATACAAGGAAGAAATTCTTTATTGTGTGAGTCACTGAGCACTGGAACAGGTTGCTCAGAGAGGTTGTGGATTCTCCCTCACTGGAGGTATTCAAGAACCATCTTGAAGCAATCCTGAGCCTTGTGCTCCGGGATGGCCCTGCTTGAGTAGGGAGGTTGGGCCAGATGACCCATTGTGTTGTGGTCCCACCTAACTGATTCTGTGACTCTGTGAGATGTTTCTTCAATTCACTTTAGAGTCAAACATCCTTTTCTTGCCAGCACCTTATTTCATGGCTTCCCACCTTCCCCCCGAGGTTCAAAAAAGAAATTTATCTGGCCTGATGCTGTGGATGGGTGAAAACCATAATAGGAAGCTCTAAGGCAGGTATGTCCCATGGAGCTGTTGTGACTATGACTGTGCTAGTGTGGCTGGATGTTTCTTCAATTCACTTTAGAGTCAAACATCCTTTTCTTGCCAGCACCTTATTTCATGGCTTCCCACCTTCCCCCCGAGGTTCAAAAAAGAAATTTATCTGGCCTGATGCTGTGGATGGGTGAAAACCATAATAGGAAGCTCTAAGGCAGGTATGTCCCATGGAGCTGTTGTGACTATGACTGTGCTAGTGTGGCTGGATTCTTGCTACCAGAGCCAAGGGAGGCTGGTGGTGACAAAGCTCTGCTGCCAGAGAAGTAACCGTTCCTGTCGCTCATTCTCCAGCAGAGTGTGAAGCCAGCTGCTCTCATTGTGATGCAGGCGCTAGCTGCTACTTAGAGGGGAAATGTGGGCTGCCCTGAGGAAGCCTCTGTACAGATCCAGGTTCCCAGAGCAAAGCTGATGTTGCAGAAGCAGGAAGGCAACGAGTATGATCTAAAGAAACAGATCCCAGTGGGAGCTGGACATGGAACAAAAGGTGGTTAAGGATGTTAAGGATGTTGTACTTTTGCATTTTGTTTCTTAGCCATTCCCTCAAAGTTTTGCATTCAAGGATTTTAGAAAAATACACCTACACTTTTGAGAAAAATGAATAATACACTATATGGAACTGTACTGAAGCCTATTTTATCACATGATGATTCAGTTTACAATTCATACTTCAAAAAAACATCCCAAACATTTTTTTTGTGCAGAAGAGGCATCTAAACCCTTGTTACTACCCTCAATGCATTACAATCTCTTGCAATAACAGAACAGGTAGAAACGGAAGAAAACTATGAAAAATATAAGCCCTGCATGTGTGGCAGAAGGAGATAAAATAAAAAAAAAATATGTTCCTGTTGCCGGAAAGAAAATCTTACCATAAGTTCAGATGATGTCCTCTTCAGCAACCTGATGCTCTGATTTAAAGTGCTCTGTTGGAAAAGAGTAGGGAAAAAACTTCAAGTCATTCCTACAGGTAAGAACCCACCTCTTTTAACATCATATACATGCTTTGATCATCTACAGAATATTTTGGTACTAATACAACATATCACATTATCTATAATAGTGACAGCAGCTGCATTAAAACTAATATATAGTGGGTTTAATTATTGAATCAGTGTTTCACCAACAGCACTAAATAGTTACAAACTGTGTACTGGAAGACTTCAGATTTAACAAAATAGATCCAACAAACTGAATAAGGTTTAGTTGGAGGGAAGACAGAACAGTTAAAATCAGAACCAAGTGTTCAGAGAATCTATATTTGCAATTTCTGAAGGGAAAAAGCACTTACCCTAGCTTTAACATATTTCTTGACAGTCAGTTTTGTGAAAGAAACAAGAGATGAGAATAATTAGGAGTTAATTAAGAAAAAAGAGCACAGAATCAGAGTGGACCAGAAGGCCTAATGCTTTTCAACAAGTGGGCTTTGATGGGGGCAGAAATACTGTATCTGATGCTAGGGTAAACTAAAATTCTTCATGTTATGTAGAGGAAAAAGCAATACCTAGCACATGGGAGAGTCACAGTTTGATACTATACAAATCCATGTCTGGCAAAATCAGGCAAAAGAAGCCATTTGGAATCTTTCATTGCATCAGTAAAAAAAAAACCCCAACTTTGGCTCTAAATACTACTCTCAGGAGTTTCCAGTTCCAATATTGTTAGGTGACTGCTAATGAGAAATAAAGTGTGAAAGTGATAACTACTTTTATTACTTAAGACAAATGGCAAGCCAAAAAAAAAAGAAAATGAGTGATTTAGAGTTATCATTTTGCAAAGTTCTCCCCTGCTTCCTCTTTTATTCGTATATAATCACAAATAAATACAGGAAAAACTGGGGAAGAAAAAGGTCATTATTTGAGACAGTATTATAAAGGAGTAGTATTATATGTGGAAAAACTATTTGTTAAACACATACTTTAACCAGATTACTCTTCATTGGCACAATGCAAATGTGATCTGTGCTTATGTAAGTCCAGATTTCTAACTTGCATGTAAAAGATCTAGAGATTCATATTTTCTACAAACACATTTCAGTATTGCTTTAATGTTTTACCATAGCTTGCTCTAGTGGAACAACTTGCTGGTTATGAATCATTCGAATGTTGTTTGCGTGTCCTTTTAAGGCATTTTCCAGTGCTCCTTTTGGCTGCAAAAAATGCAATTATGCAGTATTGTTTAGTAATCTCAAAGCTTTCCAACAAAGCAAAAACCAATCAAAGTTGCACATAATACTCATCCACTGCAGAACAGCTGATGCTAACAATGGGATATGACAAACTGAATTCCTCACCAAGGGGGGGGGGGAATAAATCACTGTATTAGTAATTCTAAGCTCAGCATCCAAACCAGATATATTACCTTGCTTTTCTGGCTATAAGATTATCAGCACAGTTTTAACTGAAGAGCATTTTCACATGGTGCACTAAGTCATTTTAAATCCAGAAGAGTGAGCACATCCCCCTCTGACTTGCCACAAGCCAGACTTCATTGCAAGAACCCTGCAGCATTGCACCCAGCTGGGACAAGCATCTCTCAGTCATGGGTACTTGCTTTAGTTTTGGGCACTGTGGACATCACCCTGAGGCACTCTCTGCTTTCTGAGGGGCTCAGAGTTGTAAGTATTTTCAGGCAGTAACTTGGAAAGGCACCTGTGAATGCATGCAAACACTCACTATCCGTTAACACCGCTGTGCCACTCTGCAGATTCATTTGCAGCGATGTTGTAGCAGTACCCTCTGACCATTGTCAGTGTGCCTGCATTCAAAAAAACCCTTCAGAGCACACAGGCTTTCTTTTGTGTGTTCTCCCTCCACAATGGAGTCCCAGCTCTCATTAGAGCCCTTATGAGCTGCCACAGTATTAACTTGGTTGCTAATTGCAAAGTCTTCTGCTCACTAACTGAAAGGAAACCAATTCAAATCAACTTTTCCAGCATGATCTAACCAACTTTTCTTCCAACTGGGACCCTAAAATCTAGACAGAGTAACTGGAAATACTCAAATGGAGTATCCCCCTCATTTCTCAAGCAAACTGTGGAACTTAAGAAAGAAAATACACACCCAAAGCAGAAACTGTACAACAGCATATAAAAACCAGTAATTAGCAATAGTTAAAATGCAGCTCATATGCAACACTGTTCTTGAAAGTGTTTCCTTACATGACAAGGCACCATGTATGTAAGTGTCTGTAGTACAAGAGTTCTCCCACAGAAAGTCCACTTTGCTATGTACTTACACTTTACATTTTAGGTATTAATGTATTACTGAATTAAACTTACCAGCTGGTCTGCTCTTGCTTCTAAGTCATTAGCAAATGAGAGAAGATCAACTTTGGTAACACTTTTATTGATCTGAAACAAGATATGAACAGTAAGAGAAGAAAAGGGCTGTGTTGTTATTGCATTCAGAGACAGTTTGCACTTAACTACATCACCTACTTTGTCTATGCTTTGTTTCTTTAAAAGTTTATTGACCTTAACTTAAAAGCCTAATGGGCTTTTTCTCCAACTTCAAGACACAGCTTTTCACACAAAAGCAGATTTTTTTTTTTGATGTGATGGGCTTTTTCTCCAACTTCAAGACACAGCTTTTCACACAAAAGCAGATTTTTTTTTTTGCTTTGTCCATTGCTAAAGAACTATTTTATTTCATACTTCGTCCCAGTCATGCCTCTAGTTGACTAGTCTCACCTCTGCCAAATATGCTGAAAAGTCTATCCCTTCTATTCCTGAAGAGCTGAAATTCAGAAGATTCTCCTTCCCAGTTTCATCCAGCAGAACGATTTTGCTGAGGTTTATCTGAATATGTTCAATTTGAAGTGCTACATCTTCTGTATACTGAGAGGGAAACGAAAGAACAAAAGTAGTTTGAAACCAGCATATATTCTGCTACAGCCCCTGCCCAAAGCATCTTGCTTTTGCTGATTCCTCATTTCCATGAAGAAGAACACATTGATTTTTGCTAAGATCAGTTTAATTGAATTAACTTCAACAGAACCCACCAGGTAATGTTCTTCCCTTCCCTGCAGTACCCACAGTACTTAGCCATGCCATGTTCTAACCTACCTATGCACCTCTCATATCAATTAATTACTTGCCTTCCATTCTGTTTTAAGCAGGCTTCTCTGAATAGATGTTGGTACCTCCTAAGAAAGGAACTAACATCCCTCCAGGAAATGTTATTCTTAAAACTGTGAAGTTCTACCTCTGGCCCTAATCAAGGAAACTCAGAGAATTCAGTATCTCAGCTCGGCCAGGACAGACACAGTCTGCTGCATTTGCCACAGGACTGGACAAGACTCCTCTAAATACCTACTGAGGTGACTATTAGGTGACTTGGTTATTGCTACCTGAAGTCTTCCTGCCCTGCCCATGTCCTGCACTGGCTGCAGAGCTACCACTGAGGAATTTGGAAATCTGACTTCCTTCCCAGCCTCCTCTATTATAATCTGTTGTGGAAACTCAAAATAACTTTTCCCCTTAGTGAATCTTCCCTGTTCATTTTAATTGTGCATTATTTAGGACAGAGACTATATCTTTTAAGAGTGGGTACAGTGCCTGGCAGAACAGAACATGTATCCCTGAGGGGTTGCTGTAATGAAGACAGGTATTACAGGCAACATCAAAGTCAGTACAGCCATGTAATGACACTGCAGTCATG